AGTAATACGTCACCGCATTGATCGCTTCCTTTGTCCATGGCTGGCTTGTGATATTTCTCACGAATCTCCTCTATCAATTGGTCAAGTCTTCTGGTCACATCGTGGGGAGCCCTGTGAAAGTGTTAGATGGAAGAACCATTGGACGTCGATCATCAGATATAGGGTAGTCAGGTTTAGACAAATACTCACTCCCCGCCAGGGCATCCATCCTTCCATATGTCCCAGGACCCTTTGATCCCTTGCTCAGCTCTGATCTTACGAATCTCAGGTGTTGTGATTCCTTCATAGTCACCGTAGTCCCATTCTCGGATGTAGTCCGTGACCTCCACCTCGGCTTCACATTGAAGGCCAGTACCATTAGGAGCACCGTGAGGTGTCCAAGGAAGAGGGCGGTTCAGCCCGAGGTTGAGAAGTTCAAATGTACGCTGGGCGCGTTTTCGTGGTGAAACGTAGCTGGGCAGCGTATTAGTTCACTCTAGATCAGATAAAATCAACTTTGCTTGGTGATAATGCGACGCGATTGGAATTCCGAACTCGCTGGCTCTTCTTGGAAGACTTCAATGCGAAATTCGTTCTACATGAGGCCCTGCCAGGAGTACTCCCATACTGATTGTTTGGAAATCATCGTCAGTCGAAGGAGACTTACATGTGAGCAATCTTCTTGGGGGCAATGAGACGATCCGGCCCAACAAGAGCCTTTCCTGTAGCTCTAACACGCTTCTCGCCATTGGCAGTGAGTGGGATATCAGTCAAGCCAGTATGACGGCCATCAAGTGACCATTCTGTCTCGCCGTGGCGAATAAGAAAGACACGCGGAGTTGACATATTTGGAATGTTTGGAACTTGATGGGGAATTCCGCGAATTCACTTGAATTTAACCCAGTAGCGTGCCAAGCGTCTAGACTATATCAAGCCCGTGAGACTCTGAAGAATTCTGTATCAGGTGTCAGCCAAGCTTGTCGAGTGGTCAGAAGGAATATGATCTGACGTGACAGTGGCCTGGTGATGGCGGGGTCAAACGAACCACGTCAACGTTTTGAGAGGTATTGTGGATGAAATGGAAGTAGCAGGTATTCTATTTCACACGAAAAGAGCTTGTTAAGGCAAGAAAACAAAAACGAAAAACAAATCTCCACCTAGAAAAGGAGGAGGAAAGATGGCGAATGGATTATCTCCAACCTTGATTTTGGTGTTGAGGATGAAGTGGATGGATTACGTTTGGGTGACAAACCCCGCTGTCTCATCAGTCAGGTACCATGTGGAGGGGTAAGGTAAGGTACCTTCCCATTGACGTTCTTTCAACGTAAACACGCCCATTTTTGGAAAGAACCTAACCCACAGAGTACCTACCTTGGACTACCTTACCTAGACTCTCAAGGGTCCTTCTTGCAGAATAAATGCTGTTGCTATTATTTGCGGCGGCCGCTTCTGTCGCTTGCCTAATCGCAGTGGTTGAAATTACGCGTGTCCATCCATGGGGCGTATCAGCTTGCGTCTCTGCTTGAAGTATTACGCTGTAGGTGAGATACCTAGTGGTCGAAACAATAAGTGAAACTCCTTATCCTCACGAGAACACGATAACTACCTAATTAAGGCACATGAGAGATGACTAGATAAATAAACAGCCATGAATATTAGCCTCGCCAGGTGCAAATGTCCCAAAAATGTAATTTGCGAGTCTCGATAAACTCTGTCAATCATCCATTACCGTTCCTTCTGTATGAACATGAGAAAACTTTCCATTTCTTTGACTTCTGACCTTCTTTGTTCATCTCCTTGTAACCTGATTCTTCACCTTCTAAATCTAAGTACCTACGAAGGTCAACTCAAATCTTTATAATCTTACCAATCCTTACCAATATTTTACAGACTCCCTCTGACCTCAACCTCCCCAAGCCGTGACATCAAGGATACCTCATTCCCCCACGATGCCCCTCATCCCCACTACACCCACTACTCCTTGCTTAGTAAGGCCACCGCTACCGCAAAAGATCCACTCGGCGCCCAACCTCCGTGATGCCGATAATTCTTCCTCCTCCGTGACGGTGACCCGGCGATCCGCCTCCGACTCTATTAAAGATCCGACGCCGTCAACTCCTCCGATTGAGCTTCAATGCCTTGATTCCAGATCAAAAACATTGTCTCCACTACCGCTCAATCTATCACGACCGACCCTAAGCTCCACGAATTCGTCCTCCTCGACATTGGGTTCATATTTTACTGCTGACAAGCTGTCACGCCGACAGCGTAGTAAGCTTTCAGAAGAGATTTGGAAGGGATACTGGTGATAAATACGAACGACCTACTGGACAATAATAACGCATAAAATGGCGGTGCATCAGTGGACAAGACAAGAAAAGTTCAAGCGCGGTGTTTGGGCTGTTGCCTTTGCGGCATGCATTTTTGCTGGCACCATCACGGGCGCACAACTAAAAACAGACAACGAGAAGAAAGAGGTATGGCAAACAGAACAAATCACAAAGAACCTGACTAATCACTGAGACAGGCAATTCAAGAGTTCCGGGCGACATCCCCCAACGAACAAATAGCTGCTCTCCTATCCCAGCGAAAAACTTTGTTATCACAAAAGGCTGTACTCCAAAGGAAAATGGATGACTTCGAAGTGCGTGTCAAGGAACGCGAGGCTGAGAAGGCGAGAGAAAAGGAAGGCCCATGACTGTGGCAAGGTTTATGGACTGGTGCGGTTGTATTATTGTGTTGTAACTCTATGGGCATCTTGTTGGAAACGAAGCAAAGGCGTTATGGATGGCTAAAAGGTGGTTTTACTGGACACAGGCATCTACTAAACATACATCATAGAACGAACCTCGAGGGTGTAAAGGATTAGAAGCTTCCGCCGAGACATATGATTGTTTAATTAACGTTTTATTGATTGAGTTATATGTCATACCCTCTCCCTACGCCTGACCGCCCTGCCATGCCATGGCATGCTCCTGTCCGTTTTTATTCATCAATTCATCTAGCACCATTCCCAGGTGGCCATACTTCTAGTGAAGCCCGCCCTAGTAGCGCTTTTTACTCCAGGACACCCTCGGCAGTGGGCAGAGGAATGGCTCGGTACAAGAGGATGAGAGCAGAGTGAGATTCGCCTCCACCGGCGAGAGTCGCAATCTTCTCAGCTTCAACCTCTGAAACCTTGTCGTCGTTGAACCACCACCACTTGCCGTCCTCCTCACCTTTCTTGCCAGTCTTGGGATCAACGGGCGCAGCCTTCTTGACATATGAGGTGTAGTGGCCACTGTCGGCGCTGGCACCTTGATGTGTCACGACACCTCGGAGCTCGTAGAGACCAGACTGATTGGCACCATCGTCGTTTCGCAACTCGGGGTTGATGAGAGCGTTGAGCTCCTTCTTGGCCTCAAGAATGGAAGCGTTTCTCTCGGCCTCGATGTCGGCGTCTGTCTTGTATGTCTCGCCCTCCTCGCCCATGACAACGTCGCCATCTGCTGACTTGCCCTCCTTCTTCTCGGCCTCCTTCTTCTCCTTCTCGGTGGGAAGACCAGCACCGCCTGGGATATCGCCGACGTCCTGATCGTGAGTCTTCTTACGTCGCTTACGGGCCCGCTCGATATCCTCTTCATCCTTGCGAATCTCACGAACCTTGTCGCGCACAGGAACAAGAGCCTTCTTCAATTCGTCCGAGCAGAACTCAACAATATCAAGCTCCATGGGGAAAGTAACCTTTCGCATGATCTTGGCCTTCTTCTGAGTCTCTCGCTTCCAGAAAAAGCGCACAAAGTGCACTGTCAGGTACTTAGGAGCACGAGAGATCTTGGAAGTCTTCGTGTAGACTGCGTCACGACCCAAAACTTCCGACTGCTTCTCAAGCTTCTCTTTCAGGGCGGCGGCAATGCCATCTCGCAGATGATTTGTTGAGCTATCAATGTGGCAGTTGAGCTTGGCGAAGCTCTCCTTGTTAGTGATGGGTTGCTCGCCAGCATTGCGCGCCTCTTCCTCATCACACTCCATTACCGAGCTGAACTCGCCAGACATGTACTTCTCCACGAAGGAGGTCTCCGAGGCGTTTTCGCTCTTGATGCGGAGCTTCTGGTTAAGTTGCTGCACAATTTGGGACCAAGCCTCCTCTGCATCCTGCTGAGCAAAGCCTTGTCCAGTCTTGGACTTCTCCGCAAACTGGGGAAATACCACTCGCAAAGCGTTCAAGAAGTTCATGGGAGGGAAGGAGTCCTGAGTTTCTCCCATTCTCTTATACAAGCTTGACAGTTGAGATGCCAAGTCCATGTTCGTGCCTGTCATCATAAAGCTGCTGGCGTTGCCATCGGGTTGGTACGTGTCGAGTGCCTCCTGGAGCTCTGGAATAAGACGTAGAGTCTGGAGGGTTGAGTTGAGATAACATGTATTTCCAAGGTTGATAAGACCGGCGGGTGTCGCACCAACTTGTTGAGCCTGCTCAGCCTCTGTCATATCCTCGACAAACTTGATCGCTTCCTTTGGTCGGACAAGGGCGTCACCACCAGCGCTTGGGGTACCCATCATCATAATGACCTGGCCGTTCTTCAAGCCGAGTTTGCTCATATCGGCATCATCTTTGAGTTGACCACCCTTGAGCAAGATCTTTTGGCGTTCGGGTTCGACGTTGGTCAAGCTGAACATTTGGAGTTTGAAGTCCTCGCCAGTAGAGCTGGGGTCGATCTCGACATCGTGTTTCTTGCCTTGGTGTTTCACCACGACTATGGTCGGTCAGTACCTGTTTGTGCAGTTGGGCTAGAGACCATGAAAACGCGGGCATGGAAAATTACTGACCTGATATAGATGACATGGTTTCGGTCTATCGGAGCTCAATCGTCGAAGGAGGGGTGCAGTAAGACCAATTTGAGTCTGCCCAGGCACTGGATGCCTTCTATTCGGAGGATTTGTAAAAGAAGGATCTAAAAGAAAATATAATAGCAGAAGAAAAAAACAAATCGTCCTGAGTCAGCGTCCCTTTGCTCAAGGTCGGTGTTTGCAAGGCGTGGAAGATGCTAGAGGTGCGTCACCAAGTGGTACCTGGACGAAGGCGATATGTTAGTGGGGAAAGCGGTGTAGCTTCCGCGGGGCAACCAGAGAGAGAGAGCTGTGGCTATGATGTTATCAAGCCACAGGCGGCTCTTGAGGCTCAAGCTTCACACGTGAACCTCTCCAACTTTCCCCCATCATCGCTCCACCCTAAAGACACGGGAAACGTCGGGCCTGGCGACGCCTCACTAACAACTGCGCCTCACCTCACCGAAGCTCTCCAACCTCCAACATCAACGTCGACCAACCCCGCCGAGCTCCGTGTTCACCGTCGACATCTACATTCGTACTACCTCTAGTTGATTGAGGACGTCTGAGGACGTATTTGTTGTCATGGTACATGCTCAATGATATCTCACGATCCAGACCGCAAGCTGACAGCTATCCCCCGCTTAGTCTCAATCCCTCCGACCCTACCTGCAATGCGTACGCAGCAGCTTGACCGCCGCGCTCACACTGTCCAACTTTGCTTCCCAGACCGCCGAGCGACACAACGTTCCAGAGATTGAGGCCCAGACGTCCCCCGAGGTCCTACTTCAGCCCTTGACCATCGCGCGCAACGAGAACGAGCGTGTCTTGATTGAGCCCAGCATCAACTCCGTCCGTATCAGCATCAAGATCAAGCAGGCCGACGAAATTGAGCATATTCTGGTCCACAAGTTTACAAGATTCTTGACGCAACGTGCAGAGTCCTTCTTCATTCTGCGGAGGAAACCCATCAAGGTCGGTTAATGGTCGTGCGATACTCAATTGAGTTACCCCTGACTAACGTTGTTGTAGGGTTATGACATTTCTTTCCTGATAACAAACTTCCACACCGAGGAAATGCTGAAGCACAAGCTTGTCGACTTTATTATTCAGTTTATGGAAGAGGTTGACAAGGAGATCTCTGAGATGAAGCTATTTGTGAGTAGTTGGACTGTAACCCTACGCAACTCCATGCTAACTTGTCATAGTTGAATGCTCGAGCACGATTCGTGGCCGAGTCTTTCCTTACACCTGTAAGAATGATCCATCACAATTACCACAACCTATGAGATTACTGACCTCGGCAGTTTGACTAAACCCCTCAGCTGGTTTGAGGCTCGGAGTTTGCTTGGGAGTGTCGGTTGTCGCAATGTTTCTGTGATCAGGCAAAATGTATCAACCATTCGTGATAGCATTGAACTGCGGAGGCTCTGATAGGCGAGCCTCATGCCGTGGTGAGGAAGGAGGTTCAAGATAACGACATTAGACATAAACTTTGCCGACCTGACCGAATTGAAATGCGTATCATTCTGGAAACGAAGCCTTTATTGCATCTGACATAGTCATTCTTGGGGTAGAGGCCATGATTTCCAATCTTATGCCAAAATTAGTATGTAAGTTCTCAAATCAGAGTACTGCCAGTTGAGGAAGGAGGCATTGTCGTGATTGCCTCGTGGGATCAATGGGTCTTTACGTAAGGAATTAATATATTTTTGAACCAACTACCTTTATCTCATCCTTCACAATTGATCAACTTTCATTTTTCATAAGCATTATTGTTACCATTATCCTTCTTCTATCATTTACTGGTCACTGCCGAACTCAATTCTCACAACGGTAAGTGAATCACTGCCAATCACTTGCAAGGAACTGTCTCTGATATCCCCTTTCTATTGTGCTCTGCTTTCAGCCTTTTCTCTTCTCCTTTTTGAGACAAGTGCCTAGCACCGTCAAGCCAAAGCGATTCTTCACTTAACGTCTTTTCTTGGAGTCGATGGCTTGACCGTAGTGCTGCTTTGTTGCTAGGCAGCTTTTCTTTGACCTTCAACAACAATTCAACCACGAGTGTCCGTTGCACTATTTCAAGCTTGACAACACTAACCTGTCATGCCTGCATCTTCATCGCTTTGAATCAGTAACTGAGATTCTTCTACTTCTCTTTCTATCTTCTGCCTTTGGAGTTAGCATTATTTCTTTCCTTTATGCTCTAACACTGGCCACTCTTCAACCTTGACACTCTGGGCCATTCCGCTCTATCAACTCAGATCATCTTGTGATCTTTGAAGATAATTTGATCAAGGTTTGTATCCTTTGCCTTGCCCCAAGAAGCAGGAAACCTTTTCCTTCATCCATTCTGCAACCTTCAGCCAACGTTCTTCATCCTTGAAATACTGACTTCTGCCCAACACTTTCACTCGGCGACGCTAACTATCCATCAAGCATAGTGCTAGCCTTTAGATGCTCTGAAGGTGTTTCTTGGCTTTCTCGCCTACGCCCTTACGCCCACCATACACGAGCCCTGCGAACCGCCAAACCCAAAACCCGAACAATTACGCGCGCGTCTTGAACGCAGCTCTCTGATTGCGCCCGGATTCTTGATTCAGTAGTCTCTCTAACTCCACATCGTCTCCAGCATCAGCAGTGTGTTGCCAGTCCGTAAGTCCTCTTTCGCTTGTATTCTTTGGAAGCTGCCGGGAATATAAGCACCTGCAAACACTGTCGTTCCGTTCTTCTCACCAACTTGCCTGTATTTCATCTCGCGGCCGACTCCAACATGCCTTTCAAACAATAAAGCGGGGTTCAGGAAGCTCAAAAGACCGCGTGCACTCTCTGGGCGCAACCATCGTCTGAAGCACTTGCAAACACCCCCTCTTCATTCTTCATCTAAACTTGCCTGCAACTCATTCTTGGGATCACAGACTAACAGTGAATTTCAGGAAAAGCTTCTATAATCACGTGTGACCTTCATTGCTCTGCCCTTAAATTTCCGAACACTCCCCTGATCTCTTTCTCTTTTTTCTGTCATTCTACCAACGACTTCGGGTGCCTGAGCTTCTACCATCTTCTTTGATCTTCAACTTGTCTCAAAGTCAAACGACTGGTTGTAGACACTCAGCTCAGAAACACAGCTGTCTTTCCCAAATTGTGCCTCAGTGCCCGAAATACATCGGCACAAAGTTTCGACTGGTAAGCTTTTTTCGCACTCCTACCAAATACTTCCAACAACTATGGACCTATCTCTAGAGTATTGCAGTTCAGTATCTATTCGTTAAACGATATTTTGGTCAATGACATTAATATGCTGACTGACAACTACTTCAAGTTAGACCAAAACCGATCACCTCTGGGCTAACCAGATCGTTCTGTGCTTCCGATGGCTCACGGAGACTCCGGAGCCCAACGCTCTGGCCAGCCAGCTTCCAACCCTTCGTTCCAAGCACCGTCCTTCTATCCGCAGCCTCGCGGAACCCAAGGTTCGGACGGCGGACACCAACTCGAGGCTGCTTCGCATACAGTTTCCAACGCGAATTCTTGGGTCCCATCAGCCCAACAGGCTCTTCACAATGCCCTTCAGGTAAGTGCCTGAGACCCTCACTCGTATGGCTTCTCAATCACCCACTAACTCTGGGGCAGGCCAGCGGATATGCTGGTACTCAGCCTGGAATGAACATGGCAACGGCGCTGCCTGCACAGCACTCTGGCTTTGCTGGACCTCTCACAGCACCACCCAACAGCCCCTCGGACGGTGCTGCTCATACAATGTACTCAGTCATGTCATACGCCCCTAACGCTGTGGCCCCTTAGATGGGAGGCCACTACCAAGGCAATGGCATGAACATAATCGCTGAGACAGTCAATGGTACAATTGATGGCATGGTCAACAACAACAATGCTGCTCCTTCAGCATCTGGGCATGTTTCCCACATCATGGCTAGTGGTGCTACCCCTTCGTCCAACAATAGCCCTGAGCATGTTATCGTAAATGGATCGGCAAATGCTGCTACAACAAATGAGGCTTCTCGTGGCAATCACCTCACAAACAGCAACACTGGAGGTCTTGGTGGCTCAGGGATTGGCAATCATCTTCCCAATGGTACACAGCTTATTGTAAGTCTTAAGTTATCCTGCTTGTGTTATGTTGAGACATAAAGCCTTATGGCAAATCTACTTCAAGCCCCATTCTAACCTTGGCAACCCTAGGCTACTCAGCATACTCAGAGCAGCAACTCTGGCAGTGGAGGACAGACTAGCTTCATGTCCCCTCCCCGTGGTCGCTCATCGGCATCTCAGCCGGGCAGCCAACATTCTGCTCACTCTCATCCTGCTACTGGTGGCCAACAGTTCTACACCCCTATTGGGGTCTCCCAGACCACTGTTTACAACTCCAGCTTGCCTCAGAGTGTTTCATACAATTCGGGTCTTTCTCTTGCAAGCCCCAGTCACACTCCGCACCACTACAGCGGACACCGCATGAGTGCTTCGCAGTCTACTCCCAACTCGGGACCTAACCAGCATCTGACAGAGCCGCGAAATTACGCACCACGATCATCCGCCCACGGTATCAACAGCTTACCTCCTCCTCGATTCGACTTGGGTCTGCAGGCTACTCCTATGACACATGAGTCCACCCCCCAGGACCCTTTTGGTAGTCCCGAACGTGCTGAACCTACTGCATTGATTCCATTCCCGAATCTGCCCCCGCCCGCTGTACAGCAAGCCATGCTCGCGGCCCCTATGGCCGGACACTTAGCCAGCAACATGTCACCTGAGCTATCCAAGTTGGTAGACACTCCTTCAGGCCTTCCCACCTTTGAGACTGCAATGAAACCTGAGTTCTTTCCTTTTGCAAGCGGCCCTGGCTCTGCCAAAGCCTCTGTAGCCGGCGCTGTTCGTCTTAAGAACGTGAGTACCTGTTTAGTCTGAGCTTCATTTTGCTTTTCTGATCTCATTAGATACCCTTCTCAACCAAGCGCGCCGAGATTGTGGCTTTTATCGGCCGCAATAGTCGTATGTTGCCGGATGTGGAAGAGCCCATCCATATAATCATGGACAGGGCAACGTCCAAGACCATGGACGCCTTCGTGGAGTTTGTTACCATGGAGGATGCGATGCGTTGTGCCGAGAAGCATCACCAACATTCTCAGGCTGGCCGTGTGAGTCGTCTTGGGGAACGCTCCATTGAGGTTGAGCTGTCGAGCCAGTCTGCTCTCATGCAGGATCTCTTCCCTCTTGCTCACGGCGTGTTTTGGGATGGTGCAACTCCTAAGGTACTCCCAAACAACCATCAAGAGCCTTGGGAGAACTTCAAAGGATTCATCTCCCCTGAAGAGATGGTCATGCTCGTCAAGCATGTTGAGGTCCCTCATCGATCTCCATTCTCGAAGGAGTGCCCCCAGCGCCCCTACGAGTGCCTCATCAGCACTCTCCGCAAGTTTCCCTGGTATGCCGCTGACCACATCACCATTTCTCAGCGGGGTGCCATGTACAAGGCGACTATCAAGCTCCTTCGTCTGCTCAGCAGATCAGTTTCGCAGCAGGATGATCCTGTCAACCTCACCTCCCAGCTTTTTCAGCGAGTTGTTCAGACTGCGATGCAGTGTCATGGCTTTACCGCCCTTCAGAAGGATAACATTGCCTTCATGGTTCAGATGATCCCCATGGAGCAGCAGCGCCGTCACCACCAGCCGGCCAACGCCAACTGCTGGGTTCACCAGTACGCCATCACGCGAAAGCCCGATGCTCCTCTCGACCTTGTTGAGTGGTACATTCGTCTGATCCGTGAGCAGAGCACTCGTGATGTCCTGGTCCGCCCTATCCATGAGCGTACTGTCATTCAGGAAACACTCAAGGAGACTGATGAGTACTGGGGTTATTTCTTCAACGAGGTCAACTACATCCAGGGTCCTCAGTTTGATCAAATGACTCTGGGACAGTGTGCCTACCTCGAGCTTTCAGCTATTGAGCGGATCCTTGGCCGCGCTCTCGGCTATAACTGAATAAGCAGCTAGTGGTACCGTTCTTGTTCTGCTTCGGTGGCCTGCTGATAACAGCTTGATTTGCTCCCTGACTTTGCACATCACAATTCGGCCACCCGATTTGCTTTTTTGAGATGGCCTTATGAGGCTACTCATTTCGCTTCTTTTAGATTTCATTTTCTCACGACGCCTTGCATCTCAGCGTCGCACTGGACTATGTCACCAGTGATCTTTGGTCATCTTTTTCAACACCCAAGACTCCCTAGCCACTTCTTCGGCAATATTTGCTACTCAGCTTTTGGTTGACTTACTCGGGGCTAAGGCTAGAGGACCATAAAGACTGGAGGAAGAAAACGCGTGGCGCACTAATAGGCAGGATTTAATTCGGGGGCGAGGATGGATGCCAGCTCAGGGTTATACAGAGGACGCTAACATGGTTCGGAGTTTAAGGAGTTCAAGGGATATTGCCTGTATTTTTGGGTCACTTTAGAGTCTAGTAGCTGTATATAAAATAAATTAAAAAAAAAAAAAAACCTAAGAATATAAAGCCTATTTTTATTATTTTTTTTTTTTTGGTAAATTGTGGTGGCTCTGATGCTGTGCTATGATGTTGACTGGGTTGATGGTTCGTATTGATTGTACAGTGTGCAGTGTACAGAGTATAATCCATATTAATGTTGTGTCGCAGTATTCTGTATTCTGGCCCAAGTGTTTCACCTTTTGCAGCTCCTCTTTGGAAGATAACTTTGTCACATGTCATGTTTTGAATCTACTACCTCTGCCCGTATGGGCTTAAGGAGGGTGTGTGCATAATAAGACTTGAGAATGGATCAGTTGATTAATGCAGCCCTGAAAAGCTGCATGTTTATTCAGGTACAGGCGTTGAATAAGCCCCATTGGATGTCGAGTGCCTAAGTTTATTTCTCGGTGTCCAGCCAATGAAAGGAAACCTTCATCAGAGACTGTATCCAATGTAAACGGCCTTCAGGGCATCGCCTCCACTTGCCGAAACGACAGGGCGTCTCCCGCCCTTGGCCCACGGACACTAAGGTAGGATCGGCCGTCAAGCTATCTCCCTTAATAATAAGGTACCCAAGGCAAGGTCTTCTTCCGACACCTGATAATCCGTGCTCCCTTCTTGAACGGACAAACAACATCACCAATCGAATTATATTCGTCGAAACGAGTTTCGCTTTCCCGTGTGTGTTTGTTTGTCTTTTATTGTGCTCCCGTCTCGCTCGGCAGGTGCACCAAAACAATCCACTTCAGGAGCCGCGTCAGACAAGACTCGTCAAGTCGACAAGGACAAGGACAAGGACAAGCTGAACACAAAAAGCTTCGAACCCCCCACGATCTTCATCACTGGACTCATCTCATCATCAATCATCAGTCATCAATCATCTCACCATCTACAACCTCCTTATAGCCTCAACCGCTACCATGGCCACCGAACAGGATAAGACCGTTCCCGCTGCTGTCCCTGCTGAGAACCCTGCAACTCCCGAGACGCCTCTCACCAAGCTCAATGCCCGCCTTGAGGACATCTTCACCAAGACACTCCACAAGGAGATGTGGGGTGTCCAGCTCACCAACATTGACCATGTCCCAACAAAGGTCGTCCTGCAAAAGTTCCTCCGCGCCAACAATGATGACCCAGTGGCAGCTGAGAAGCAGCTCACTCAGGCTCTTGAGTGGCGCAAGAAGATGAACCCCGCCGCACTCGTCACCCAGACTTTTGACAAGAGCAAGTTTGGTGACTTGGGCTATGTCACTGTCCACAAGGGAGAGAATGGCAACGAGACCATCATCACCTGGAACATCTACGGTGCTGTCAAGGACAACAAGGCCACTTTTGGCAATGTAGAGGAGTAAGTTTCAACCCCAGCCTCAGGGAGATGAAGATTTGGCTATACTACCCTAAACTTGGAGGACTATTGATAAGTCCATCAAATGGTCCTCAAAGTTTGGAATAGTTCAGCTAAATCTTTATATGGCTTACGTCTAAAGCCTTGAGTTTTCTTGTTTAAATGAAACAGCTTCACTGACTCTACACCAGGTTTATCAAATGGCGCGCTGCCATCATGGAACTCAGCGTTCAGAAGCTCAAGCTAGACCAAGTCACTGAGCCAATTCCTGAAGGGGGTGAGGATCCTTACCAGATGATCCAAGTCCACGACTACCTTAATGTCAGTTTCTTCCGCATGGACCCCGCCGTCAAGGCTGCCAGCAAGGAGACCATCTCCGTCTTCTCAATGGCTTACCCCGAGTTGCTCGCGCATAAGTACTTTGTCAATGTTCCCGCCATCATGGGATGGATGTTTGGCGCCATGAAGCTCTTCCTTGCCCCTGCTACCCTCCGCAAGTTCCACCCCATGACCTCTGGCACTACACTGGCCACTGAGCTCAAGAGCATCGTTTCTACTTTGCCCAAGGAGTATGGTGGTCAAGGGCCAAGTGTCAAGGAGGGTATGTCTGTCTCGTTGACTGAGACTGGTGAGACCAAGGCTGAACCTTCACCTACTGGGGTTCCCGAACAAACGGCTGCCGGCGACTCTACCACTGCCGAAAAGACTGCCGTCGCTCCTGAGTCAGCTCCCGCTACTGACAAGCCACTCACTGCTGAGCCTGTTGTGGCCGCCGCAGCTCCTGCCCCTGCTCCCGCTCATGCTGCAGAGGCTGTCCCAGCCCCGATTCCTGCTCCTGTAGAGGCAGCCAAGGCCGAGACTGCAGAACAGGCTGTGGAGCAAGCTGGAGAGAAGCCCATCGAGGAGGCCCTGGAGAAGCTGTCCGTCGACCCAGCTGAGTCTGAGAAGAAGGATTCTCTTGCTACCGATGCTGAGAAGAAGGAGACGGCTGCCTGAGCCGCCTTGCGTGCAAGTAAAAAGGTGCGAGTGAGAGAGTGAAGGATACCAAGAAACCGTGTGATTTGATACCATAAACAATACCCCATTCAGTTATCAGGAGCGCACCAGAGGCGAAAATCACTGCTTAGAAATGTTATAATTCTACAATAGACTGAGATCGAGAATTGAGATGCTAGTTTTTGTAAAGAGACCTATTGCGTCTTGCTGTGATGTCTTTTGTGACCGTACCCTAGAGTCATGATGTAGAGGCAGGCTGCGTAGGGAAGGCAAAACTCACGGCTCTATTGTACCCAGGTGTCGAAATACTTGGGTAAATCCAGTGCAGCCTTGAAGGTCTTGAGGCTGTTTCATTTTGACACCCTAACTGAGCTTCAGAACTTTTATTACACCCTGAGGCCAGGGGACCTAGGAAGTGATGCGTTTGCTGATAGGTGGTGATGCTGGGATAGTTAGATCGTTGGCACTCTCAAGGTGTCTTAGAGATGACTGCGGCATGAATGCCTACCTAGGTAGTTATGGGCATATGAAACGGTAGGGGAATTTCCTGGTGCAGATTTGAGGGAGCGACCTCTCAGTCAGGAAGTGTTTGACTGAACACCGAAGACGAACATAACTCCCGGCTATCAGCTTCTATGTGCGTTTCAGATGCTTCTGGAGAGTTATATAAAGCGAAGTCAAAAGTCAAAAGCAAAACAAAGCTTTCAATTAGGCATCTGGTTTTCGTCAAGATGTTTTTCATTTCTCGTGGTTAACGACTGATGGCTTCAAGCTCGATGCAAATGCCAACATGCACCAGCGATTTATCACGTCTCAGAAGCCACAGCTATTCGAAGAGCAGCCTTGGTCATTCTATCCTATCAGAGAATACTGAAACTTGATCGAGAGAAGCGATGGGACGATACGACCAAGAATTGGCTGTCAACATAGGTAAGTTGCTTGTGACGCCCACTACCTACCTACTTCTGAAGCAATGGGCTTTATAGCACTTGGACCATTGTTGAGGCATCAGAAACACACAGGAATTGTGAGAGCGAGTTCAAATTAAGGGAACTACAGGGATGCATGAAAATAAACCACCAGAAAGAAAGTCCACAGTGGACGTAAACGACAACGAGCTGCGTTGATGGAGAGGCTGGCTGATCTTGATCCGCGCAACTGCACCGACACGTCGCTATTAATGGAACTTGGACATGACCAAATGCATAAAAGAATATTTGAAGTATTTCCATGGTGAAGCTTTTCTACGAGTGAATTGGGCAGTGGAGGTACTCTACGCCATAACGGCAATCTTCAGAGACTATTCTGCTGCCAAGGTCAAAATTGGTGTTGATATGCGCACCAGCCTTAGTAGCACGCTGCTCACCAGACAACGTGCGTAAGGTCCTCTCCAAATGGCAATGACTGGCACAGAAAACGTCACCCAATTCATTACTTGCAGACGTCTTCTATGATGCTGTGCTAGCGAGAGATAGTGGTCCTAATGGAGAAATTGGTTGTCCAGGACCTCTTTAAATGCATTTGCTCACCTCGACCTCAATGATACAGGACTGCTGGGGTTGGTCGTCACTCGATTGGAAAAATTACGACATGTAAGTTGATTGGCGCTTTGAAGCTTTGACAGAAAAAAGTTTGCTTGTTGTACGAAAGAGAGTTGAGGGCAATGCGAGTAAGCTTCGGTGATGAATTGGTATGATCCTGCGTGTGTGCACATGATGTGGTGATACGCCACTGTAGATGGTACATGGCACTGAACTGATGATATCGCAAAAGAGCATACCGAATCCAAACTTGCCAACACTTGCAGCAAACAGAAGCAGCAGACTTCACGAAGGGATAGAGGTCAGCGCGCGCCAGTCGTTCAGTGCGTTGACTACCACTGGCCCATGAGATACCGAGAGGCACTTCTATTGATCACTATTGACTGTATCAGCGAAACTTCAGAACAATGTCTCATTTTCTACGGAAATAGAAACAGTATAAGCGGTGCAATGCCGAAGTACATAGATAAATGTCTTTTGTAAAGTACACCGACTGCGGCGGTGCTGGAGTTGCAGGGGAGGGATGAGGCCGGACTAGAACCCGTGATTTGGTGATCCTTCAGGTTACATGGGCGATATGCGTATTTTTTCGGCAAATGTTGACCTCGAAAAGGCCCAGGCAAGTCGAAACACCACCGAAAGGATAAGAATGCACGAGTCTCCGGAGTCGACTGATATGCTTTCTGTCGTTGCAAGGGAGTGTTATCCGGAACTAGGAGATCTTTTCAGACGCAAGGTCGTGGACACAAATAGAGCGAAGTCGACTTCGAAGTTTTTCCTTCGCTTCTGGGGATAAAATGGAATTTCGGGTTCCAATGGGCAAACTGAGGTGTCGGACTCGCTCTTGTTTGGCGTGCAGTGTCGAAGTGGTTTGAGGTCCGTGAGAACCTCAGTACCCGCCCTTTTCGGAGTAACTCGCACGCTGGCCCCTGAACAAGGAACGCAACGTCACTCATGAGAATTTTCCAGAAACCGAGACTTTTTCGATTTCTGGATTGAACACGAAACCCGGGACTGATCCTGCGGCACTGAACAATTATATGAAGATCACGTCTGTGCTGAAACATGGCACCTCCGGTACTCGGTAGCCGAGATGCTCGCTCAACGAGGCTGTGATGCGGCATCCGGATATCGTCACTCTGAGATAACTCGACAACGGGCGATATGCATACTCAAATTTTTGCATCGTCCGTTTTGAGTGAATACCCGAGTTTGAATCGGTCGGATAAATTGGTGGTATCTGAGTCAGATGCCCTCGAGGCTGAAAGTGGCAAAGCAGTGAAAGACGAGATGTCGAGATGAAGACCTGTAACTCGAGCAATATCAAGCGTGTGTGCATGCGATCAAAAGATAAACATTTGCATAGAATCAGGTGCAGTTTTTCCAATTCCATGAATGCTTTGGCTGGTAGCGTACCGCCATCGGAAATAAAGTAGCCTCTTGAGCTTCGGGTGCTCTGGTCTGTCTGTTTGGCCTTGCTTTGGTCTAGGAGATTCGCGTTTGCCTCGAAATTGAGCCAGCCATGTTCATCCTCGCATCCAATTGTTGATTTTCTCCTCTTTTGCTCCCTACATCCCATCCCATCCCATCCAAGAGCGCGCTCACTCATCAGCCTTTTTTCTGGGGGTCGAGCAAACTCAACTCAACTCCCTTCTCTTCCTTGCTCTCCCAGCCTCTCTCTCTCTCTCTCTCTCTTCATCCTCCAACTAACTACAACCAACTGCAACACATCGATACCATCCATCTATCTCCTGTAGTATCAAGAGCCTAGGTATTGATGTATTACACTTGAGCACGAGACTTTTATTCCCCACTATTCGTCTCTATATCTCTCTCATCTCGTTTTTTACCCTTCTTCCTTTCTTCATCCCCCCCTCCTTTCCTATCTCTCTATTCCTTTGACCCTCGTCACGTCCTGGCCACTCAATCCCACTTTTTTCTTTAAATCAACCAACAAAGAACGCGACGAGGTCCAAACGCAGCATCAACATTCATTGTTGAACTGGGCTTCTTTCAAGACAATACAGTACAATACGGCACAAGATAAAATAACCCAATCATCTTTGCTTTATCTGTAAGTTGCTCTGATAACCTCTTTCTCTCATTCATCAAAGAAGAGTGATTCACTTTATCGAGTCTATTTTACTCGATTGCTCGCTCCTCTCTTGCTTTCCTCTCTGTCTACAACATCACACCAACCTTCTTCCTGTCTGTGACTCTCTCTCCGCATTCCCTTTCGCTCGCCAAATCCATCCTTCCTTCTCCTTTTTCGGCTTTCTTCACTCCTACACGGAAACTACCATAGTACGTACCAAGCATTAGCCTTGGACCTTACTTCCCCTTCCCTGCCTGCCCTTGGGCAAGTCTAAGGTTGGACCGGCGCGCGCGGGGGAGAAGCACCACCCACTCGACTAGGTAGGTATTACTGTACCTATCTAGTCGCCCACGCTCCTTCCCGCTCCCATCTCCGTCTCTGGGCGCGCCGCGTTTGCTTCTCACTTCCATTTCATTTAACTCTCTACCTCACATTTTCTTCCTTCTACACGCTAAATTTTGTCAAGCACAACATCTTGACTTGTTTTCTCTTCAATTTACCCAAATCATCCATTTTCTTTACTTTTTCCTACACTTTGAATGACTTCTGGGTTCTAAATATTTCGCGTCAAACAGTCTATTATACCACTCAGGCGAGCTTTTGCCCCTGCCGAAATGGCACTCTTACTGTCCTCTGAGGGCGCCTTTGAGGTTAGCACCACGGACGATTCTTCCTCAAATGTCGCGTCTGCAACTTCAACACCTCCTACTACCGTCGCCGATGAAGCCAGTCTTCACTCCGATTCTCCCAAACGCGATGTCGTTCACGTTGCACTCGAGCCTGACTCTCCCGAAGTCGCGCCTACTACATCCGAGCCCATCGAGCCTACAGAGACCGACAGCGCCGCCAATGCGCCGCCGCCTGCCCCAATTCGCTCTCGACGTAGCCGCGTTAGTGCCCCTGTTTACAATCTTGTTCAATTGAGTGGTACAGCTGGCCATGGAAAGCGACGCGCTAAAGGAGACATTGTCGCGGACCGACGAAGAAGAAGAAAGACCATCTCCGGCCCAGTCTTGGGCGATGACAAGGGAACGTCCGATACTCCTCAGGACGCAACACCCGAAACCGTACGCAGTGGTATCGACGCGCTGGGTGCTACTCAGTCAGCAAGCAAGCTGGACTCCCCACGCGCTCGTCGCCAGAAGATCGCGGAGGAGAGTAGCTCGAGCAGACGTTCTTCGACGCGTCGCTCCAGTGTCTTTGCGCCTATCGCAGCGACACCTATTACTAAAAACTCCAAGGCTACCAAACGGAGTCGCAAATCTACGGAAAAGCCCTCAACACCCATGTCACGCGAGCTGAGGCGTCTGCAGGACACTAAGGAATTTGCGCACATCGACGAGAAGCCTGTGGTTTTGAGTGTATGGTCAAACGGAAAGTTTGTTGACCCTAAGGCTGCTTTGGCAGCCTCACGAAAGAAGGCTGAGCCTGGACAATCTGCCGAGGAGCCCAAAGAGGCTGAACCCGAGCCCGTGATTAACACCAGGAAGCGTCGGGTCAAGAAATATCTTGCTAAGGGTCTTTACGCTGGACAGGATGCTCCCATTGACATTTCTAAGGGTTTGACCGTGGGTGAAAAGAAGGCTCTGGCTCAGTTGCCGGAACTCATTCCCAGCGGTCGCGTTAATAAGACAATGCCTTTGCCCATGTTTAACGGTCTACGCACACTCATTGAGGGCCGCGACTTCAAGCTCCCCTACCAGGTCTGCAACCCGCTTCCACCAGGTCAACCTAAACCCGATGAATGGAAGAAAATGACAAAGAGTAAGTTTTGTGCCGAAATTGCAAGTTTAGCACTAACGTTGTCTAGATCGCTTCATTGGCGAATCCAAGGATTACTGGCGAAAGTCCCCCCACTTCCACGACTATTCATCGAAGTGCGTTTGCAAGCCGGAAGATGGGTGTGGCGAGAGCTGCCAGAATCGAATTATGCTTTACGAATGTGATGAGCAGAACTGCAATGCGGGCAAGCAGTATTGCACCAACCGCGCGTTTGCCACCCTCACGGCGCGCCGAAACAAAGGCGGAAAATACCGAGTTGGTGTTGAGGTAATCAAGACTTCTGACCGTGGATATGGTGTCCGAAGCAACCGATGCTTCAGACCCAACCAGATCATCATGGAGTATGCTGGAGAAATCATCACTGAAGAGGAGTGTGAGCGCCGCATGACCGAAGTATACAAGGACAATGAGGTTAGTTTATAAGTCATTATGCGACTTTGATTGGACGATTTGGCTGACTCAGCAAAGTGCTACTATCTCATGAGCTTCGATCAAAATATGATCATCGACGCCACAACAGGATCTATCGCGCGTTTCGTGAATCACAGCTGCAATCCAAATTGCAGAATGATTAAATGGATCGTTTCCGGACAGCCGCGAATGGCCCTGTTTGCGGGTGATAAGCCCATCATGACAGGTGATGAGCTGACTTATGACTACAACTTTGACCCTTTTTCTGCCAAGAACGTGCAGAAATGTCTCTGCGGTGAAACCAACTGCCGCGGTGTTCTGGGGCCCAAGCCTCGTGAAGTCAAGCAGCCCAAAACCGATCTCAAGAATGCAGTCAAGGGCGCTGTCAAGGCAGGCAAACGTAAGCTTAAGGAGCTTATTGGAGACGAAGGAGACGATGGCAAGAATGCAAAGAAGCGGAAGGTGCAGCCTGCAAAGGGAGTGAAGCGAGCGATTTCCAACGCTGGTTCTAAGATGGCCAAGGGTGCAGCAAATGCTTTCAAGAAGGGTGTTTCCACAGTGGCCTCGACCACCAAGAAGGCGGCTCTGGGTTCAAAGTCACCGGCTAAGCGCCGCGTCTCGACCGGAGCTCTCCTTAAGAAGACGACTACCAAGCGAGTCATGCAAACATACTCACGCACTCCACAGAGACGAGCATCGGAGCGTGCATCGAGTGTCAGCCTTGTCTCTGCAAGCCGAGCCAAGAGCTCTTCAGTGACCAAGGTGTCAACTAAGACAACGAAGACGACGGCCAGTCTCAGGAGGACCTCATCAAGGGTGATTTCGCCCCGACAGGCATTGGATCTTTCACGCGATGGTGAGATCCGGGTGGTCGCAGACGATTAGGAATATCAGAGAGTTGATGACGTTGGGATCGGGATTTGTGCTTACTGATAAAGGATGCATTCTCGCAGACCTGGACTGCTCCGCTGCATCATGAAATGAATCAAGAATAGGGGTAGGAGAAACGAATCGGGACAGGAATACGAACAGGAGCAGGGGAAACGATAGGAAATATGGGTGCTAATGTTGCTCTTTTCCCGCCATTGTCTCCATTTTATTGCTTTTCTGCGGGCGCCAGGGCGTACAGGGAGGCGAGGTTTGGCATTGTACAGTATCAGGGAACGGATGGAAGGCTGGCCGGCTGTTGGTGGTCTGTAACCTTGCTTTAGCTATCTTTCATGCTTTACTGTTCAACACGTATTGTAATGATGTTTGGAAGTGCTTGCTTGTTGTGTACAGTAGTTACAATGTGTTTTTCTTGTGGTCAAAATGCGATGCGGGGCTTTGCAATGACATTGATCGTCAAGGATCAGGGGTTATGCGATCGTATATCTCAAGCACTGAATCAGACCTGATTGCACATTCCTGAATACTCACTCAGCCTTGGATGACTGTCGTTGTTTTGTAAATCACACTTTGATACATCGACTCCAAGACATTGCGAGGCGAAACAAGGCATCGGAGCTAAATGCACTGCGTCGGGGCATATTTGTTCTCGTACTAAAATTTGTAGCGCAGGACTGATGAGTCGCAAGTGCGCATTGCGCTTTTGGGCATTTATTTGGTATTGCACTTTCTTGGACGAGGAGCGCAACGTCTAATTGGGGGTACGTTGTAGACTTGGTCAAATCTCAAGTGGTGGTGCCTGGGAGGGGAGTGTTGATGCTGTTTCTGGCGAGCTTCGGGTGTTTGCCAGCCCAGGGGGGTCAGTGATTACTGAAGGCCCAAGGGTACGAGTCGTCAATTCGTAGGCCCTAGGCGACACGATGAAGGAGCCTTTGCTTCAAATGAAGCATATTGTTTTCCAGCGGTCAAGATGCATACTCTCGTTGCTTCTCGTGCTGTGCAGGTGAGCCGGCTTGGCTACTTCAGGCACTTCACACATTCACTCACAGCCTTCCATCTGTGCTTTGGGGAATGATCGAATGAGAGGCTGTTCTTTACCCGAGGTCTAAAGTCTCTTTTCAAGAAATTTAAACTCTATTGAACGGTCTAGAAAGCTCTCTATTTATTAATTGTAAAGACAAGAACTCCAGGTAAGACTTAAACTTGAATTTGCGATGGAGCGACTTGGGTAAATGCCTCCTCTCTTGTGGTCTCAGAGGCCAAATCTAACCCTCCTGAGGCTGGAGGCCTATACATAGCTTGTAAGCTACCAACCTATTATAATGAAGTCTCTAGGTGCCACCGCCTCCGGGAACATGATATGATGCTTCTTTTGCATGTTCTGATAACGCGATGCTTCCTGTCTCCATGTAACGAAGTTGACTAAGCCGCTCTAACTAACCGCTGTCGCGCCTCGAGTATTACATACTCCGAACTCACTAAAACCAGGCGCTGTGCTAAGATTGGGTGTATCGCGATACGTTCAGGAGAACTTGCCTCGATTTAGAGTAAGATTCAGTCACGATAGTCACGATAGTCACTTATCTATCAATTGGACTGAAAATCAAGGATAAAACCGAGTATTTCTTTTTTTCTATCAGCCTGCCAGTCCGGATAAATGAAAAGCGCATGTCAAATGAAACCGCCAGCATATTGCAGCACAGATCTAGTCTAAGGTACAGAGGGAAAGACCATAGAAAACAAATAAGAGTCCAAAGACGTAAATCTAGGTCTTGGGACACTCGGGAATAGAAGTAGAAGCCAAGATATAATGAGAGCAGAAAAGAGAAACGCGAAGGTAATCGAGACACCAGCATCCTGGAACACAAGATGAGATAGTATCCACTGGAGTATCTGAAGGAAATCGAAAGCACCAATGCAGGGGATGAAAATAACTGAAGACCGAAGACAGTCCCATATCCCAATAAAAACAAGAAGAAGGTCAGACGACCGCCACCAGATCGTCGAAAAAGAGAGCCATGAGAACCATGAAAACAATAAGGCCGTGCTCATTCACTGCCATCAAGATGCCGCCTATCGCCCTTGGACAACTGTGCCAGGGGCATGTACTGTTTCTCCTGATTTTGTCTATACCGCGATGGTGCATTGCTGCGTATCATAACCAGCTGCTGTTGACGTTGTCGTCTGACTAGGTATTGCTCGATATGACCTCTGCTGATCAACTCAGAAGCTTCTGGCTATGCGACCAAGTCTCTTGAAGCCAGGCCATGATCTGCCCAGCGATTGATCCGTTTTGCTTTTTTTTTCCAACTCTTGATATACCCGTAACTCCTCTCTCGTTACCAAGTTTGATGTCTTTCAAGACGACCTTTTTACTTTTCGCCGAGTGGGAGGGTAAAAGCGGAACAGCATGTAGAGTTGTAATAATGATTGCACTCTATGCAGGCCTTCCCACTTGTGAAGCTGTTAACATCACCACATTCGGAACATGTCCACATGTATTTGACACCTTGCGTAGGCATGATGGTAAGGTTTTGAGTGGTAGATAGAGAAGAGACCGAGTAGATTGTGAACTGCAAGTCTGCTGCCGATTTGAAGCTTGAGAGTTGCTGAGGAAGCCAACGAAAGTCGTCCTGATCATCCTTTAAGTATCCAGCGTCAATCATTGACTTCAATGCGAGACCCAGCAACGCTAGTCATAGAGGAATACAAGAGCTCAGTGAGGCGATTGTGGTTTCCCACAGACACCACTTGATGGCCAAAACAAACACGCCCCATGTTTGGAACTCCCACGTTGACATGGTCTAGAGCCAAAGAGACGAAGCATTCTTCGCATCGGAGCAATCAGTTACACTCCTATATGATTGAAATTGTCATCGTCGTCTATCGTGTGACTGTATGGGATAGCGGTCGAGTATCGCAAAGCTTCAAGGGAGTTGTGTAATAGGGGGTTTGAGAAAGTTTCAACCCTCATACTCCCTGAGCACACAATTTAGATGCCATGACCCTGACTCACTAACTATATGTCTGGCCAACTCTCGAAGGGACCGGACGAGAATTGCTGCCATCGGTTCTGACTAGCTGCGCATTTGGGCACTGCCCAAGGGAGACATGAGAACTGTGATCGAGAGTAGCTTCGCCTCGGTCGACATCGGTCGTAGGAAATCAGTGATAGTCGAGTTCTTGAGAAAATGGGTTCTCTTGTCGCTGAGGCGAGCCATGATTGGCATTATCTATGAGCACATGGTGAATCTGAGGCGAGCCTCTAGAAGGGGTCTAGAAACCGCACATTTTGAATAAAGATACCTTACACGCCTCAGCCACAGACTGGCAGGAATACCTTGCTAGCTGCTTTCAACTCCCACTTAGCTTCTAAGCAGCCTCGGGTAAATGTCATGGGCATTGTAAATGATGTTGTTGGACCTCGCAATTGCGGGTGAACGTCGTTGATGGGTAGTCAGTCTTTCAAGCCCCACCTGGATGTTAGTGTTTGCTAAGCCTCTGGAGCTTAAAAGTTAGCGACAACAACGACGGAGACTTGAAACCCATTCCTGCGAGGGCAAGGCCTCTCAGCACCATCGACAGGGCTTGGGCTTGGGATTGGGCTTGGGATTGGGCTTGGGATTGGGCTTTGGGACTGCGTATGTTTGCTTTAAGTGTATGTTGGAAACCAGGGCGGGGTTGCTGTTCTTTCGTAAGGGCGGGGGTTCTCGCTTTGGAAATAACTAGCCGAGGGGGTGTTGGATTAACCGTCAGTTTCGAAATCACAGTATTAGTCGCAAGCTTTAACAAATCCAACTCAGCAGGGCGGATGAATGCAATGGAAACAAGCCCAAACAAAAAGATCGAAGTTTGGATGGAGATGGATGAGGCTCTGCGCCGGCCGACATCGGATGTTGATACCGGTTTGTTGTAGGCATGTGACGAAAGCCCCGTTCATCAAAGTGCAAACTCCTTTATGCAATGTCATTCTCGGGCTGTTTGCATCCATCCTAGCCGAACTTATGAATCCCGGTACAAGAATAAAGCCGAAGAGTAACATGCCTCGCCAAGTTCCCAGGTACCTCTGCCAAGCACTTGAAAGCACAAAGGTACGTTTAGGACTTTGGGGGTGGTTCGCCAAACAAGGCAAGCAAACACTTAGACACCCGGCCTAGGTAACAAAATAGAGGGTTAGAGATGGTCAAATTTAATGTGCTAGTTCTTCTTTGAGGGCCATGATTTGAAGGGGAAATACCGAGATAGTGCAGCTTTGTCTCGACCAAGCTTCCACAAAAGGTGCATGGTTCCTTTCAAGTTCGAGGATATATCATCCGCCCATACATCGTGTCGTGGGAACTTTAATATAGGAAGAATGCTTGTATCTATATTGGATCGTTAGTTCTAGTCAAAAAGAAACTGCTTCAATGATATCAACTTACAAACAATGATTTGTTTGCTCGGGTAGCATTGCAAGCCTCTAGGCCTCAGATACTCACCCAAAGCAAGTGCGAGAAAACTCAAAGGACACAAAACGACAGCGGTGTGAAAGAATTAAACAAGGCTCCGGTGAAAACTGGGAAAGACAGAGGACGGGGGAACGAGCTTATATGTTTTCTTGCGAGACTGCCTTGCCCCCACTTGATATCAATATGCACCTGCATCAGCAGGCTGGGTGCTTGTGCAGCTCAAGTGTAAATAGAAAAAGTCGTGCCAACAGCCTACCTGTATTGGGTGTAAGCATATAGCCAATGTGAAAATACCCCAAGTATCATATGGAGCCGCATGGTGATATTGCTGAGCGCTGTTTCTTGGACGTGATATAACACTGCTCTGTGTCAAAGACCTAGTATGCCAACATGAGCGTCCAACCGTGGAGTTGGAGGTCTATCGAGCTTGAAACAGATTCTTCTCAATAGACCCAGTAGTCAAGCCACAGCATCCGTAAGGCTCTAGTTTTGTGTATCTTGTGTGCTGCACAAAAAATGGTCCTCGCAGACGGGCGCAGGGGCTTTGATGTATGTTATGGGCTGATGAAAGTTCAATATCGGTGAAAACACAGTTATTGAGCCTTGACGAGACCATGATATGTGAAGAAGCGGCCCTGAATATTTTTGAAGTATGCTAGAGCGGGTTCTGCGAATATGCAACGCTGTTTTTTTGTTGTCTTTTCTGTTGTTTTGCACTGATGAAAAGACGTTTGTAAGGTCGACGTCGTGACGCTCAGTAGGTGAAATCTACGCCCACAGTCGAGTGAGGATTACGGATGAAAGACAAGGTAGATTATGGGTTTAGGCACCCTGAAGAAGGATTGGGAGCTTCCTTGATGCCTGACATCAAATGCATCCAATGGCTTCCCTAGTTCTAAGGTGTAGCACCAGTCCCGTTACAGCTTCTTCGGGATTTGCATGTTGCATCGTGGCCAATAATACGAGCCTCAGAATCAACAAGAGCATTGCCAAAGAAGTCTTTGGTTCACATGCCCTGAATGTTGGAGGCATAAACCTTGTGGCATGATAACCGAGGCGATCATTAGCATTGCTTTAATTAAGGGGTCCCTGCTCTGCCTTCCTCATCAGGCATATAAGTAGGAGGTTGTCGGGCCTCATGTAAGCAACAGACTCGTCGGATCTCCTCAAATTACAGGATAGGAATCCTCACTATATCTAGTCTTGGTGTACGTGTGGACTCTATGAGGTGACGAAGCGCTGAGGTGTCTTCCAAGGCTTAGCCCTCCTTTTGAAAGCCAGCAGATCTTCTGACAGCTCGAATGCTTGATAGTCCAAAAAGAGACTCAATGGCAGCACATCACAAAGACGACAACCCTCATTTGGACTGGATTGTAAATGTAGTGAATAGAATCCGCAGTTGGTGCAGGAGTTCTGCATTTAAGGCGGACTTGAGGCAGATCGTACACCATTGGTTTGATTTGGGGCTTTCACAAATGCTTCGAAGCCATCTAAAGAGTAGGTATCCCTGAATAGCGGCTTCTGGAGGAGACAATGACAGCCTTTCAATTACGAGATGAAGCTTTGTTACTATGATACAACTAAATGAAGATTTACTGGCTTGTTGGTCGTGCTGTTGGTTGATACTCAATTCGGCTGAGGACAAAGGCATCGGGAATGGATGGATGGATCCATTGAAGAGGGCGGCAGAGACAGTGGGGGTGGGTTCTGGATCGCAAATTCAGGTCCCTGACGCCTCAGGGGGTAAGAAAACACCGGGACCTTATTATAGGGTGTCAAAATAAACTTAGTAAAGAGTCCCCTAAGGTTGGGCTAGATTTACCTTAGTATTTGGATCGTTTAGGGTTAGGGTCCTGAGCTTTCTTTCCTCCCCTAGCCTGAATGTGAGTCTCTCAAGAGACATTATTTTTACTGGGTATTGGTATACGTAGGGTTGGAATCTTGACACTTTCAGAGATTTTTAGTTGGTTCATTTCTCTGTCACGTTGATGAATGACAAAGGTACGGACTTGATCATGCAATATTCCAAATGTCAGTCATTGGTCATTGTAATAATTCTGAGTTCTTGAGACAACCTTAACCAGCATGCAACTACGGGCTCTTATTGGGTCCTATATGTCAAAATCTCTATCAGCAAGTAAGATATCTTGCTGTGTGGTGCCCGTGTGTGTAAATACTAGCTTCGAGAGTACTCTACATCGATGTCTAAGTTGACATTGCCCAGTAGAAGGGGACACTACCACTCACACGTGAAGGGAATTGGAGTATAATTTCCATATCATAAGTATTGCACACGCTGTTCGTTTCGGACTTTTTTTCTTTCTGCAACCAAAATCTGTCGACGATTACATATCGGTCGGTAGAATCTACCAACCTCGGACCCTTCCATCTTGCATTGCCTGATTGGGTAATTACACAGTGCGGTCTAAGAAATGGCCGTAGTGGAAAGCACGGTGATGGCCCACCCGAGCGAGTCGGACTTGGCGGACTTGGCCAAACCTGGCACTGTTATTATAACGGCGGGAACTGCCAATGCCGCATCACAAACAACAGAAGATGAGATCATTACTCGTCCACGATCAGCTCGTACACAATCAGATTATTCACTCCCTGTAAACGCCGCGACAGAACCGCCCGCAAGCCTTCAATCCAGTCATTCGTCGATTTGGTCCTTCCCATGGAGCGATGAGATGCTAGAAACCTCAACCAGCAACCGCTGTTCCACGCGATGGATCGCGCGTGGGCTTCCTCTGCTGGGACTGGCACTCGTTGCTTACGCGACCTACAATATCATTGTCTACTGCTGCGGTGAGCTCTGCATTGCTGTGCTGCTGCTTGTCAAACATTTACTGACAATCAATAGTCCAGGACTTTATGCAAAAAAGGGGCAAGACCGCAATTGGCGTTGTTCTAATTGCACTATATTCTATTTTCCTCCTTCTCATGGTCGCAGCCTACATACGATGCTACGTAACGATTCAGTACAACCCTGGATTTGTGCCATGGACAGCCCAAAGGGAAACCATCGAGCAGGAGCGTAACCAACGAGCGAGCAACGGAGCCGAGGTCGAGATACGATCTTGGGCCCCTCGAGACGACGAACCTGACAGCCCCGGTCTTGAGTCATTCTACAGCAAAGATATCTTCGTTTGCGAACTCGATGGTCGCCCTAAGTGGTGCTCCGAATGCAGAAATTGGAAGCCTGACCGGGCGCATCATTCTACAGAGTATGATTATTGCGTGTACAAGATGGATCATGTCTGTCCTTGGATGGGCGGCATCATCTCGGAAACTTGTGAGTTTAAGCCCTAACGAAACCTTGTGCAGTAACTAATGCTTCAGCAGCCTTTAACTTTTTTATACAATTTTGCTTCTACTGCGCTTGTTTTTGCATAATCATCATTTCTACCAATGGCTACCTTACTAGCCTACGCCTAAAGGAAGACAAAAGTATTGATGCGCGACTCATTGTTGCTCTGGCGCTTGGTGGTCTTTTCGGTTTGTTTACCATAACCATGACAATCACGGCTTTAAGGTTTGCTTTTCAAAACATCACCAATGTCGACTTGTACAGGAAGACCCAGACCTTTCGACTGGCAGTTCGGATTCCGACAGACACTCCTCCAAATGATCGATTCAACACCGTCACCTACCCACTGGAAAGACCCGGAGAGGGTCCCAGGACCCCGGATGCAGCTCACACCAGTGGGATGACACAGGCGAACGGCGCTGCGTCCGCACGAGCAAGCGCAATGGCGGCTAGAGACCAACAAGCCAGGCGGACATTCGCTATCCTTCAGGCAGAACCTGGAGAGAACCCATGGCACCTGGGTTACCTGCAAAACTTCAAATCAGTCATGGGGGACTCGATCATCGAGTGGCTTCTACCCATCCGTCACTCGCCCTGTAGCCGCCATGATAGCATGGTGAGCGACTACCAGTTTGGGCCACTGGTGGAGGAGTTGAAAAGACGGTATGGACTTGAAGGGATCGACCCCGAGAAGAGGGCAGCGGCTATGACTTCGAATTAGATACCCAAAGAGTTTCACAAAGACTCATATCATTTGTTACGCGGCAAGAGGTGGAAAAAGACAGTAGCGGTATACGTAATGTTTAAAGACTAGAACTAGTTGGTATATCCCAGCTTAACCGCCAAAATAAGCACAAAGACTCGTGTGTTTTCTTATGTTTTCATTGGGATTGGTTGCTCAGACACGCGCTACTGTTCCTTGGTGCTACGAGCAGCTTAAACAGCGAGCGGGGGGCCACGAAGAAGGTAAAGGCTTTAGTACTATTGTCAACGGCAAATAGAAGGGTCCTTCGACAAGTATCACAGTTCGTTTATATGGATGTGCAGTAGCTTGAGTAGTCTCAAGCAAAAAGAGATGTCAAATATTGCAAAAACACATACAACACCGGGGATTCGCTGGTCGTCACCGACCCAACTACTAATCCGGCGCTTCGCAGCTTGACGATGGGAGAGCAGACGGGATCCCGTATTCTCTACGAGCTTTGGTCGTATGTACCAGAAGAGGTGATGGCAAGGCTCATACGTTTGCGCTGGGGATGAGTTAGGTAGTTGTGAAGGAAGATATGGAGAGCCAGATGAGCACTGCTCTGAGATCCAAGTTACTGAGATGGTCAATTCATGTAGGCAGTGCCACTTGAAGAGGGGAGGGGAAGTGCCTTGTACCACGATGGGCTGTGATGCAGGCTGAAGCCATCGTCGCCTGCATGGTCTAGGGTGACTATCACGGGTTGGGTGGTTTTCTTGACACTCAACAACCAAAGAACCTTCCTGTACATATAAACTTACTGAATACTTGTAATCTCACTAGGATATGCGTAATCTCATAGAGGATAACTTCTTTCAATGTCTTGTTGAGGTATTGCAATTTCTGGGCCAGCATCTCATTTGAATGTATGACGTGCATGTTTTTGCATCGCCAAGGGCGCAACCTCGATAACGCCAGACAACACAATCATCGAAGCAGGCATTCATCACCGCGAGACTCATTTCTTTCCTAGAGAAAACAGCTGAGATATCCTACTTAAAACCTCACCTTTTAACTGAATGGCAACCAAGGACAAGAAGGAACGAGGTTCGAAAGTGGATCTTGCTCTGTGAAGGCGTTGAATGGCACTGGCGCGAACCTATCACATCTCGCGTTCCTCCTTCCATTCACCACATCTATCTTCATCTTCAAGCTCACGACTCCTCGTAGAAGGATATCTCAATTCTCTCTATTCTCTCAACAAGCTCAGCTCCAAATTGTGAAGAGTTTGCGAGGAGAGCGACATTATCGCACTGTTTGTGGCGTTCACGGACACGAGAAATTATCCGTCAAGAGAGACATCGACCGCCTGCATTACCAACGCCTTGCAGTAGCCGCACAACACGAAAGCATTTTTCACCGTCAAGAAAGCCCTAAAATCATCCAAGCCTCGCAATTTATGTCTTCGTCACCGCTACACAGGCCTCTCGGGGCTTCGTCACCACTGCTTGAAGGAGGCCGGCGGCGTTCCCAGTTCACGTATCGCCAATTCTCACAGCTGGCTTCGTCCAACACTTCGAACCCGCTGCGCGTCGTTGCCCACATCGACCTCGACGCCTTTTATGCGCAGTGCGAGACGGTTAGACTTGGTATTCCAGAGGACAAGCCGTTAGCTGTTCAACAGTGGTGAGCACAAATGCATTTCCTATTTCCCGAGTCCCCACCAACGTCAAGCCCTGATTTTCCTGCATTCTCACACTTCTCATGGAACACAAGGTGTTTTCTCTTTTCTCCGATTCCTCAAGTCCTCTGTTGGACTGAGAATCGAGTCTGCTGTTCGATCCTTCTCTTCAGATGCAGCAGTGATTGGACACTAGCAATTAGTTTTCGCTGAGGCTTGCATCGTGTTACTCTCAACCTTGCGAGATGGATCGTCACTAAGCATATTCGTGCTTTTTGCCATGATCGTTTATTGTTCGCGGAACAGAGAATACTCCTTCTAAGAATCTCTGAAAGGCGGTAGAGCATGGAAATGCGAGTCAACAATTCACCTTACAGCCCCCGAGAACATTCTCAGCGAAACCTTCGAAAACTCAGATGTTGATTCTCCGAAGATCGTGACCTCTCGACCCAGGTTGTGTAACACTTGGCCCTTGTCACTCCACTATTCTCGGCCACAAATTGTATGATGGCAGGCAAAGTTGTCACGATAACATTCATAGGCGGTGGTTGTCCATAGCCATGGAAATGAAAGCCTCGTTTTGCCACGCTGGGGTTTATGTCCAGTCCTGGAGCTCTGTTCTCCCCAGTTATCACTAGAGCGTTGCTCCTAACATGATGATTCTCCAACTCACTTTCGAATTTCTGACATTCCAGCAGGCAAGGTCTCATCGCAGTCAACTATCCTGCACGCGAATTTGGCATTGGACGCCATTGCAATGTCGAAGAAGCCAAAAAGTTGTGCCCTGAACTTATCGCCCAGCACGTAGCTACATGGAGAGAAGGTGACGACAAGTGGGCATATCGCGAGGATGCCGCCGCCCACATAGCAACAGATAAGGTTTCACTTGATCACTATCGCCTCCAGTCTCGAAAGATCTTAGCATGTATCAAAGAGGCTCTGCCGCTTGATCTCCAGAAGGTGGAAAAAGCAAGTATTGACGAGGTCTTCCTCGATCTTTCGAGCCAAATCCACCAGATCCTTCTGCAGCGCTTTCCAGAATTATCAAACCCGCCCCCCTATGACGACCCTACTGAGAACCTTCCCTTGCCATCCATTGCCGCGCTCGACTGGCAGACCGATGCTTTGATTGATCTGAATGAGGAGCAGGAAACAGTCGACCCGGATTGGGATGATGTAGCAATCCTTATCGGATCTGAGATCGTTCGCAAAGTCAGGGCCGAAGTTCGACAGAAGTTGGGATACACATGTTCAGCTGGAGTAGCAAGCAACAAGCTTCTCAGTAAGTTGGGTTCGGCGTACAAGAAACCAAACAAACAGACTGTTGTACGCAACAGGGCTGTACCTGCTTTCATGGCTGACTTCAAAATCACAAAACTTCGAAACTTGGGCGGCAAACTCGGCGAGCAGATCGTATCGACATTCAACACAGAGAGCGTCACTGAACTGTTGGATGTTCCTTTGACAACTATGAAAGCAAAGCTTGGCCATGACACAGGTCTTTGGATATATAACACCATCCGAGGTATTGACGCAAGCGAGGTCAATTCAAGAACACAGATCAAATCGATGCTGTCGGCTAAATCTTTTCGTCCAACTATCAACTCTTCAGAACAAGCAACGCAATGGCTGAGAATCTTCGCAGCTGACATATTCGCTCGCCTCATTGAGGAGGGGGTTCTGGAAAACAAAAGAAGACCGAGGACGATGAACTTACATCATCGCCATGAGGGACAAGTGAGATCTCGGTCGGGACCCATCCCTCAGGGGAGAACCGTAGACGAAGGCAGTCTTTTCGAGTTGGCCAAGGACCTCCTTTCGCAAATAATCGCAGAAGGGAGAGGAGTCTGGCCTTGTGCAAACTTGAGTCTCAGCGTAGCAGGCTTTGAAGACGGCGTCAAAGGCAACATGGGGATTGGCGCATTTCTGGTCAAGGGGGAAGAGGCAGAAGCTCTTCGATCATCGATTCCCGATAGCCGTCAATATTCTACTGGACCGGAACCCTCCGCGAAGAAACGCCGCGTCGAGGATGGTGGCATTCAGCGGTTCTTCTCCAAGCGACCCTCCACTGACCACGAAAAGACCTCCCTAACCGACTCACATACTCCCGAGGAAGACCCCAAAGATAGCTCTTTGCCACCAGATCCCGCCCAAAAGACCTTCACTCTCGCTACTAAGTATGATTATGAGGCCCGCCATGAATCCGACCTTACTATGCATGAGTCTCATGGATCACCGTGGCATGAAAGCGCCTTCGATGTGCAAGTGGATCAACAACAGCATTCATTGACCGATGTTGTATGTTCTCGCTGCAAGGCCAGCTTCACAGACCCGGAAGCGTTGCAAAGCCATAGAGATTGGCATATGGCCAAAGATCTACAAGATGCAGAACGTGTCAAGCCCACATTCGCTGAGCGACAACCTGCTGCACGTAACTCTGCGCAAAAGACGCAAGGAACCACTTCAAGAAGGAGCCGGGGAGGCAAACTCGAGCAAGGTCAAAGTCGGCTCAAATTTGGTTGAACAGAAAGTGATTACTCTGCGGTTTCTCGCCCGAGCTTTTTGCAGGTTTGTGTTGCAATTGCTCACGCTCACTTTGCGTTATCGTCAACAAAAGGTCACGGCATGATGGCAGGAGGTAACTCGATGCACCGGCATCGGCTTATACCTGGGTTTGCCGCCAGAAGACGACATGTTACATTGGTTGTTATCAACATTCTGCTCAGCATACACGAGACTTGGACTTGTTCGTACAGCCGTGGCTGTGCGATAATCCACTTTTCGTTGGCGTTTTGGAAACCCCTTGAAGAAAGAGGCAGATGCACAATTCAGGAAACATGCAGATTCTTGATCACACAAGTCTGTCAAAACAACCGAAGCGCCTTGACAGCTCGGTAAGGCTGCGAACAGCCGAAGCGACCATCAGGGGGATCAGCAAAAACCAAGGCTGTCGTGCTCTCACGCACGCGTCTCATCTTGAATCAACGGAGAGGCCGGAAGCATGTTAATAAAACCACAGTCTGCTGATGGATGTACGGAGTACAGAAACCATCAAAGTCAATGACAAAATGTACGACTTCGTGGGATGCCAAGATGTTGACAAGTTTGGGTCAAATTTCCCCAGATGATTGGACAGCAAGGCTTGGGCACCGAACACATGGACCTGCGGGCAGAGAGTTGGGCTCCAATTGGTGCAGGCATTGCTACCCAACCCACCCTCCAAAGTGCAGCCGAAAAGCCAGCCGCCAGCCACTCAGAGATTGACACCGGGAATAGGCCTCAAATGCAGCTGCGGTATTGTTGGAATATCGCAACATCTGACAAGTATCCCGCTGTGGAAACACGTTGCCTATCA